TTTCGTCACGCGAATGTTAAGGAATCCGATTTGGCGTATATTCATAAGTAATAGATCGGTATCGTGACACCAGGAGAACAGAAAAAAGAGGGTGTAACTATCTCCATAACCATCGTCGGTCATACCACGCCCGATGCTGATGTGGGCCTCCCCAATGAATCTCCATTATTAGTTTTTAGTTAATAAATACATTTATTGATAAGGACACAATCAGAACAGTAGTTAAATAATATTCAGGGATAAGATGAGCAGTTCACAATAAATGTTAAAGTTGATATATTTTTTAAGCCCGAATATTTTTTTTTCAATATAATATTATTTTTAGTATTTAAAGAAAAAGATTAAGGAATTCTTACTAGAATAATTCAAAGCACCCCCTTGCCTTAAACTACCCCCTTTTCCTTAAATAAAATATTTGTTTGTTTGTTTTCATGGAATGGACTCCGAGGGTTCCAAAACTATAAATTTATGGGGAAATCGCGCCAAAATATAAATGGACATATATATGAGTACACAAGTGAACTAACAACTTTGTTTATATTTATTTGTAAAGAAACATCTAGGTAAGTTTAATCGAAATTGTCATAAGGACTAATTACAAATACTTTGTTAAAATATGTATAAAAGTTGATTATGTTTAAAAGTATCCGTTATCTATAATATCTATACTAATATTATAAAGCTGAAGAGTTTGTTTGTTTGTTTGAAAGCGCTAATCTCAGGAACTACCGGTTCGAATTGAAAGATTATTTTTGTGTTGAATAGACTATTTTTCGAGGAAGGCTTTAGGCTATATAACATCACACTGCAACTATTAGGAGCGAATAAATAATGGAAAACGCGGACGAAGTCGCTGGCGGCCACTAGTGATTAATAATAACATAGATAATATCTGTGTAAGCAAACGTTGGTAAATGAACAAATAAATTAAAATTACATCTCAAAATATTAACCCTGATAACTATTTACTTAGTATTTTTGTTACAAAAGACATAGGTAATAATTTATAGATTATATTTTTCACTTTACAATTTCACCGACGTAACAGTTTCATTTGTACATCTTTATTCGCGTTTCCATGTGAAAAATTGTCTGTAACTGTCAGCTATCTCTGTCTGTATGATGACGATCACAAGCAAATACATCATTACGTTCAATCACATTTTCGATATACTTATATTTAGGTATAAGATGAACGTACCAGGCCAGTTGCACAAACGTGTATTAAAATTATCATTAGTTTAAAGCGTGGCGCTTTAAACTAATGATAATTTTAATACACGTAAAAATTTTAATACCGATACATATAACTTTTATTAGAGGTTAAAGGAGACATTAAACCTTAATAGATGTTTATGCAACTGACCGATATTAAATAGTTATAATAATATTTAATAACAGATCAATTTAAATTTAAAATCAGATTCCCATGGCATATAAATGAAACTAAAAAATAATGAGTTGGAAATAATTCAATATTATTAATATTGATTCGATGCATTAGTTCGGTGGTACAGTCCTATAGTGGGGCGGTGCTCAGGCGCCGGCCGCCGGCGGCAGAAATCGAAAGTGTTCCGCGGCCCACTTCACGCATTTTGGGCAGCGGTTGCGCAACACCCATCGCCTACAATTGCACCGGTGCATTGCTGAAAGTAGTCTCTTTGCTTCGAATATACGGCCGGCTCAATTATAAACACGACACACACACAATGTCTATTATATTGTCTTCGGGCGCTGACCGTGATCCATTTACTCAAAACAATGTTTTATGGTCGATTTAAAATTCTTAAAGTAATTATTAAATAGTTTTAATATTGCTGAAAAAATATATATTTTGTATCTCACTAATTATAGTAGTCTGACAAATAAAAATATACAGTGGAAGTATTTCGTCAACCACTATTCTTTATTTCAAGAGCAGACAGTAAACATTTGCATTTGTACGACCATTATAGAACACCTTTTTCTTAACTCGATCTTGTAGTATGTAAATATTAAGAATCACGATATTAACGTGATTTGGATGGAATGCACTAGTATGCAAATAATTCACGTTCGATAATCGTCCTTAGCAGTTACTTATCACGTACCCTAATATCCCCCTCTTAGATTTAAGTTGTATATAAGACGAAGATCGTTTAGTTAAATAGAGATCTACAACCTGGAACATAGTATCATTTCGCCCTACCGCGCTAACGCTATTTCGGGAACCTTAGGCACTTGAGTTAAGAAATGGCACTTCGGATAGAAGATTTTCCACTTTATACATAAAAGTAAATAAAAAAAAATCAAAATAACAAAATTATCTTCATTACATTACAACTATATTATGTTAAGTAGTTAAGATAAGTTTGTTTGCTTTATCCGCAATAGCTCTAAAATATGTTTTTGGAGCTATTGCGGATAAAGCCGTGAGCTAGGTCCCAATTTAAAGTACTTAAATTTCTAATCAGCATGGCCTTTATGACTATTTAGCAAGCTGTGTGGTACCTGTTAACAGTATTAGCATACCTTACTTTAATTGGAAACTCCTCCAATTCGTTTCTGTTGCAATATAACTTGGATTTGCCAAATTTATTTCCTAATTAGCAGATTTCGTATTATATTTAATTGTAAAGTAGAATTTAAAAACTTATAATAAGTTTCATTATTCTAATGTAATATTACTAATTTAATTATCGTCGTCGTAAGATCATTTCATATAAATTATTCTTTTATAATCTTTTTCAAAAATACAAGGGTACAAAATTCTACTGAGTTATTTATGTAAGTTGGTTCTTCGATATCTTTCACGATTTAACTTTTTTTTTTAGTTTGGAGGGGTACACTCTCCAGTTGGTGGTTTACATATCGAGGCTTTGATAAGATAACAATAAGTGTTTCATAAGATAAGCACTTTTCATTAATAATTTTTCATTTACAATATAGCATTGTGAATGCAAAATTAATCAAATGATAACTATAGCTTTTAGTATTAAAATCTGTTAAGATAGCTTTTTCTATAAATAAGGTATTTAAAGGATCACAAAAAATTATAAGATGAAGCTACCTAAAAAATAATTACTAAAAAGTTTCACGCAAAAAAAAAATTGGAAATAAATTATTTCACTTTTCGTTCATAGTAAATTCTGTCTAACTAACCCAGCCCTGTGACTATTCCCGTAAACTATACATATTTGATTCTCGAAGTGCTAAGCTTAGAATTTTGAAACTTCACTTTTATTTCTCCAAGGCTGCGTGACTAACTTCAGTTTCTGTTTCAGGTTTCTATGAAAATTCCGTTGTAAAATGTATTCGTTTGTCACCTTGACCCATGAAGATTTTATATAGGTAATTTATTAATACTTTTGTAGAGGAACTCGACAGAGGTTTGTAGTTAACTTTAGCAAGAGTCGATTATAGGATGGGTGGTCAGCAATTTATTAACGGCTTAATATGCCATCCAAAGCTCCTCCATGCTTTGGATGGCATATTAAGCCGTTGATTCCATCTGCACTAATTAACATCCATCATTCCGCATTGAGCCTATGTGGTGGATGGGTACTGCAGTCAATGTCCATATTAGTAGGCTCATAATAATGACGATAAACTACTAGCGCAAACACTGGCATTACCGGGGTTACCCGATATATTTCCTGACAATAAGATTAGCAATTTCTTAGTAAATGACCCGTTGCCCGTAACTAAAGTTCTAAAATAAAGTTATTTTTATATTTTTTTGTAAAGTAATTACTTTATATTCGGGTACTTTAGATCGGGTTGTGGTCACTTTATTGTTATTTATTTATATAATTCAATCAAGTGGTGTACATGCTTAAATTTAGGATCAGAGAAATCTACGTGACGTAATCTAATCTTCGATTAATGACAGTTTTACAACTGATTTAATGTAAATAAAGTCGTGTATATGTTACAGATGGATAAGAAAGTTTAACCTCTACTCGGAGGCTTCAGAGCACAAACATTGACTAGTAGATATTTAGTGTGATACGGATGCGGTGATAATAATTCTTATTCGGCCAATATACGTGGTCAAGTTTAAAGATTCTTTAATAAAATATTTGAATAATTCATTGAGAAATTAAAATAAACATACAACAAAGTAACAGAATATAATCCTTAAAAATATTTAGCGGTTTTTAGTGTAACTATGTGTATTTCTATTTAAATTTAAGAATTCAAATATTTGTCTGGGCGTATTACTAGTATATGTGATGACGTGTGTCAGTATCGCGTGGAAAAGACATCAACGCGTTACAATGTAATAACATACCTGTACACGAGGGAGGCGTAAATTATCGCGTTTCGGGAATGGGAAAGGGAATTATCAATTCAAGAAGTCATATTGAATTTTAAATCATTTCGTAGATTTTAAGATTTTCTAATAAAGTTTGTCTGAAAAATGTCAAGAATGGATTATATATTTATCGCTTTTTGTAAGATGATGTAGTTCCTGTTCACTTTGATTTTTATAATAATAAATTGGTGTTAATGTTATAATGACATTATCCTCCTATAGCCATTGAGTTGTTCGGTAAAAATTAATCTTTAAAAAAAAATCGCTGGAGGTTATCCCCTGCTCGTAGCTAGCTATGGTGATCCAGAGCACGTCACACCATCACACGTGCTTACACTGATAGAAATAATATCAAATGTAGATAAAGAAATGATATCGAATGTCTTCCGTGGGTATGCAACTTTTCGAATTGTTTCGTTTCGTTGTCTGTGAACTGATCGGAGTTGAAGACATCATTAAAATATTATTGCAATAGCTAATACCTCTCGCCATTAAGTATATTAACGAGTCATCTGTCAAGCTCCAGCTCTGACATGGGCCGCAACAATAGTTCGTTATCGACTAAATGTATTGCAAATCTGCGTCGCACGCGTGCCTTGCACCGAATCCCTGACATTTGGAGTGCTTCCGTAACCCTTACCCCAGTCCTCCCCCCACCACGTGCGGCGTGGTGCAGCAGCAGGGTCGGTGCGCGCGCTCAGCTCACTCTCGCGACCGCGCGCCGTCCGCTCGCGCGCTACGATGCCCCGGTGCTGGTGATTGTGCAGTGCTGTGTTTGTATCTCCGTGTTCTGTGCGCGCAAGCATCACCATGAGGTCCTTCGGCGCTGTGGCGCTCCTACTAGCGATCATAACAGGTGAGACGACGATATCATCGCAACCTAAGTTTTACATATCATTAGGAAAATATTCGGCTGTATCGAACTTAAAAGAAAATTGAGAAAATTCACTGTCGTGACAGTAGTGAAAATATACGTTTACTGTGCTAAAGAAAGTATTCCATATCTTTTTTTTTATAGATACGTCTTTAATAGTTTAGTTGTCGGGTATATAAAAAACAACTTTCGTATTATAAACTTTTTGGGCGAACGACGTGAAGTTAAAAATGCGCGCTCATCGTTGATAATGTTTATGTAGGCAGCGATAGCGGTTAAAAGTGCACACTTTCCTTGTGATTGCGTAATCTGATTGACGGATCATTAAGCTCTCTTTTTGTTAACTTTTTCAAATAAAAGACAGTTTATGAATTGTATAGTCACTTGACCGTATCAAACATTAAAATAAATACTGACAGAGGTGCAGTACATTTTTCTGCAATAGTCTTGGTTTGTAATAACACCACTAAAAGTTTGAATAATAATTAATTATTATAAACTATGACACTTTCGCGACAAAAACACTTAATGCGTTAATGGAAATATTGGAGTTATCGACGTTAATCACTTTCGTTCTCATCGGAGGCTCGTCGTCGGTGCACGCGCGCATTTCCAACGCGCATGGGAGCCAAACGCGAAAACTATTGTGTTAAGGCTAATTGATGCAACAATACACACACACATGTGCCCGTTTCTATCGTTTACAAGGTGTTATGTTGATGTCTTACCATCTTTTAAGACGATTTAAAGTTTCGGATGTGATTTTCCTAATTTCAGATGCACAAAAGTCACTATTTTAATAAAATATTTGAAATTTAATAGCATGTGTAGGTAGGTGCATAAAAAGTCAAAACAAAGTATTAATAAAATATAATTAAAATGTAAAGTGGTATATTGAATTGGAATAAGTATTTTATCTTTATTAAATCATGTTAGGACTCAGGATCTCCACACACAGCACTGTAGAAATAGTAGAATCTATAGAAATTTTTCGAGTTGTTTTATTTTGAAAATATTTTAAGTGTCTGTTACAAGTAGTTAGTTTTCACTAAATGTTACTTCCCCAACAGTCTCGCGTAGTTGTTTGAATAAATTACATGCAGGCATACGCAACGCATGTATTAACATACCCGTCGTCAATTTTATATTTTAAATTAAGCTATATTTTATTTTTATTTGTAGTTTTGTTTTACATTATTAACTATTTGGATTTTGAATTGTTTTAAATTGGCACTCAAGTTTAAAAAGGTTCTATTAAGATATCGTATAAGATCAAAAATATCTTGAATGAAGGATAGTTTAAAGAACTGTAATGTGAAATACGTCATAACCTTCGTTATCGTAATAACCCACTTTGTAATAATGGAAGTGTTTTAGTTAATTAACACTTAATGAAACAAGTAGCGCACGTAAAAGAAAATTTGTAATTTTATTAAAATCAATTAATTTTTGTTCTTTTTGTGTTGAAGCATTGTGTTAGGAATTTAATTGGCAACAATTTATTGTGTAATAGGTGTTGGTAGCGCGTGTACGCACGCCGTATGACGGCGGTGTTGCGCGGTAATTGAGGCGATACTTTGCGTAACGTCTGCTTCGGTTTTTACGTGTACCTGCGTACGCGCCACATTACGCGCCGAAAATATACCTATTTTACTTTCCTACAGGAGTAAATAATAATGAAAATCCTATATAAATGTGTTTATAATCGATCATAGCGAAATAAAAATTCTAAAGATCACTTTCGCATTTTTCCGTGGAGCTTAATCTGATATTAAATTAATGTCTTTGTGAGGTTTGTATACATTAACTAGAATACCACAAAAAGTAATTCTTATAATTAAATATTTGACAAGATAAAAAGTTTTAGATTCAATTATACTTATACTATTTTTTTTTCAAGTTTTTTATAATAATAATAATAATAATAATAATTCATTTATTGCATGTCACATAGTAAAACAGGTGTTATTATTAGGTACAGTTTATGTGACACCCTGTAAGGGTGTAGCAAATTAAAATTAAAATTAAAATTCCATTGTCAATAGTAAATGCTTTAAATAAAATCTTCAATATCTTAACTTTCCTCAATGTCTTAACTTTCCTCAATATCTTACATTCATAAAATTTCATTTAAATTCACATTCGTCCCTAATTTTCATTTTAAAAATAATCATAAATAGGTATATAAAATTAATGTTAACTGTCAGGTAATTTTCAATTAAGTACAATAAATGTCAAATGCTTAGAATAAAAAATTATAAATTATGTCACAAAAGTTAAATTGTCAAGAAATAAATTAAATTGTCAAGGAAGAAAGAAAAACATGTTATGTCAACGGCAATAAAATATTACAATTTGTCATCAAAATATTCCTGGATATTATAATAACACTTGTCAATGAGAATTTGCTTCAATGTCGTTACAAACTTTTTATATTAATTTCATTTTTTAAATTATGGGGTAATCTATTAAAAGTTTTTATTGCCATTACATAGGGACTCGTACTTTTATCTAAAACATTAGAATTTTTGGTATTAGATTAATCTATACATTGTTTCCTTACTGGCGATCGTCTTTTATTCGCTGAATAGCGAATAAAAGTAGTAACGTCCCCCTTATCTGATGCGGACTGAGGCCCGCGCCACACTAATGTGCTGAGGAAAGGCCTGAGGTTCGTTCCACTCTAGCAGCATTAAGTTGATATCATCAAGATGCATTGATAAATTGAGACAGGGATTAAATAGACAGTGAGTCTAAATAATTATGACAACACAAAATATCTTTGTTGTGTATAACAAGATGTTTGGTTCGATTTCTTAGTCACATTTATATTTAGCTCAATGTGAGAGTTTTTTTTATCATCATCGAAATTTTAGGTACTTGAGAATTAATAAATTAAGTTATTTATTGATATCTACATATGTTTAGACGTTTATACAGTAGAATGTTTCAAATCAAAAAAAAGTTTATTGGAGCTTTCAATGTCCTTAAAATGGTGACAGAGTTTTTTTCTTTTCTTTAAATTAAAATTATTTGGTGAATAATATAAAATTATCTAATTGCTTATAAAAAACAAAATATATAATATAAAATCTGAAGTGAACATTTAATAACAATAACCAAAAAAACATAAACGAAAAAGCGTATTAAGTGTTATTTTTCATTACAATATTAAAGTCACCATGTCAAGCCATTCCGTACCATGTACACATCGGTTGGTTGGTTGTGGTGAAAATGCACTTTTTGCAAAGGATTGATCATTGAATGAGTGATCGAAATTATCCAAATAATGTCTTTATAATACTAATGTACTACAGAATGCACTTAAAGTTTTTACACTGGTAGGCTCTTAGTTCATTTTTATTTAACGCCCAATTAAATGCCTTAGAGAAATCACATTTGAATATCGGAATTATTAATACAAGAGCATAAATACGTTTTGATATATTAAGTTAAAAAGCGCTAAACTAAAAAAAATCATTAAATGAGAAATATTAGGAGAAAGGGCAGTTACATTTTTGATAATATATTATTTTATTTTAATCTTGAGGTAAAATCTAAAGGACCCTACTAACATGTCAGTTGTTTTTACCTATTTCTTTCTTATAATGTACCGTCTACAGCATCTTAATTTATACAAAACTGACAAATTTATTCACTTCATATTAACCGTATTATATTAAAAGTAAAGATGAAATTCAATTGCGTAATCTTGACATATTGTGGTACTCTGACGTGACGCTGTGTGTACAGAATTCATCCGGATAAAGTATTATTATACCTAAGTGTAGATAAAAAAGAAAGACTTTCTCTCAGGTAACATCCTCAAAAATGGATACTTTAAATATAATTCTCTTCCACTTTTATGACACATGTCGTAGACTTGTATGGATCCGTGAATCACGTTCGACAACCTAATGGATCCTGTCACGCCACATTTCCCATATTAGTGTGGACACGATCAGGGGAATTTTCGCGAATAGATGCTTACAATGGGTACGCGCACGGTTTGATTACACGCGACATTAGCGCGAGTGACATTCCCGAGTGACTACAGAGGTGGTCGTGATGTGAGATGCAACCTCTTCGCCGTGCCCTCACCGCCAATGTGAGACATCTCCGTCCATGTTTATGGCGCGTACTGGTTTTGGTGGTGTTAAAGAGCTCATGGTAACGCCCCAGATTCTCTGACTTTGTTTTCAGACTTTATATATATTATGTTCTTTAAAAAACCAAAACAAAGGTTTTGTTCAACTCGACAGGGTTTCGTTGTTTAATTACAATAAATGATACAAATTTTAAACGGTTTCATCGCATATTGACGTTTTACAGGTTCCGTGGTCCCATAAGATTTATGTGTTCTATGTCTTTTTAATTAAGACTTAAGCTCCCTTCATAACAGTACACACATTCACAATACATTTTCCTTATATTCTATGAAACCGTTTACATTTATTATTTAAAAAATACGTTTGACTTATTTATTTACCCCTGGCTACCTTAATCTACCACCAGTTCCACATTTGGGTGTCTTGTCTGAGAAGAACTGGTGAAACAAACTCTGACAAGAAAAGTGAATTGCTCCTTTTGATTTAATATTCACAGAATGAACTAACTGTATCTTTTGGTTTTGCGCTGTGCGATCTGGATTGAGATTTCATTTGACTTATGACTGGATCCCAAGCCGGTGGTATATGCCAACCTTCATCTCTATTAAAATTCGGATGTTTCTTCATTGGATTACATAGCTCCATAGCGTAGCTATCTTTCGGTTCCATTATTAAATCAGCTCCATTCTACATGAACATTGCATTGTCATCCTGGATATGTCGTATAGATATGCAAAGTTTTAGCTCAATAGTCTTGTGTAGCTCGCGGACGAACTGGTTCGAAGAACTGGCTCCCACAGATGAACTACGTGAACTAATTCGCATATTTCCCGTTCGGCAGTTCGTTAGTTCGTGACAGAATGAGTAAAGATG